CACCTGTAGTCCCAGCTACTTGGGAGGCTGAGGCAGGAGACTCACTTGAGCCCAGGAGTTGGAGGTTGCTGTGAGCATGATGCCATGGCACTCTAACCAGGAGGATAGCTTGAGGCTCCGTCTCAAAAAAAAAAAAAAAAAAGAAAACACTTCCCATTTCATTCTATAAGGATTGACTCACCACTTTTATATACGTGGGCAAGGAAATCAAACACAAAGTTTTGCTTCTTCTTCACCCTCCAATAAAAGAAGAAGAAAACTATAGGCCAATTACTAGTAAACATATTACATAGAGGCCAAAGAGCAAACAGAAGGAATAGACATGCTTTTCCTTTGAAAAACTTAGCATCCTTCTTTTTTCAATTTGTTCTTTTGATAGGGTCATGTTTTCTTTTTATGAACCACAAAAATAGGGAATGTGCAAAGAATAGGACACACTGAAAAAGCCACTGAACCTGGAATTCAGACAGTCTGATATTAAAAACCTATTAAAGTAATTTAGCCTCTATTACTAGGAGTCTGGGAGGCCAAGGCAGAAGGATTCCTTGAGCTTAAGAGTTCATGACAAGCCTGAGCAAGAGTGAGATCCGTCTCTACTAAAAACAGAAAAATTAGCCAGCTGTTGTGGCAGGTGTCTGCAGTCCCCACCACTTGGGAGACGGAGGCAGAAGGGTCACTTGAGCCCAGGAGTTAATGAGGTTGCTATGAGCTACTAGGCTGACACCACAACACTCTAGCCTGAGCAACACAGTGAGATTCTGTCTCTAAAAAAAAAAGCAATTCATCATCTTAACTGAAAGAAAATGGTTTACGGTTGTTCATCTCATTTGATTTTAGAAGAGCAATGCACAAAATACAGAATTTATTATTTATCAAGAGAAAGTAAAAGAATAAAGATGATCTTAGCAAAGGAGAAAAAGAACTGACACTTCCTTAACTTGAAGATCTGCATTATCAAATTACATAAAGCACAGGACTAGAGAAGTAGGTTACAGAATAGGCCCAGGTATACACAGTTTCAGTACATGACAGCAGTGGATTTCAATGCACTCATCCCTCACCTAGCATACAAAAATAAATGCCAAGAGGACTAAGGAAATAAAGTAAACAAAGAAAAGCATTATAAGAAAACAGAGTTTCAGTATGGGACAACAAAATTCTAGAGAAGGATGGCAGAGATGGTTACACAAAGATCTGAATGGGTTCCATGTTACTGAACTGTACAGTTGGACAAAATTAAAATGGCAAATTGCATGTTATATATATTTTACTACAATTAAAATCTTAAAAAGAAATAAAGATTATATTCTTGTGACAGGACTAGATTTTTTTTTTTTTTTTAGACAGAGTCTCACTGTGTCACCCTTGGTAGAGTGCTGTTAACATTGCAGCTCACAGCAACCTCAAAGTCTTGGGCTTAAGTGATTCTCTTGCCTCAACTTACCAAGTAGCTGGGACTATGGGCACCCGCCACAACACCCAGCCATTTTTTGGCTGCAGTTGTCATTGTTGTTTTAGCAGGCCCAAGCCAGGCTCGAACCTGCTGGCCTTGGTGTGCGTGGCTGGCGACCTACTCACGGAACTATGGGTGACAAGCCAGGACTAGCTTTCCTAAGACACAAACCCTTTGAGCCATAAAGAGAAATATTTGAAGATTTTGCTATATAAAAATTTCATGTGTTGGGAGATGCCTGTGGCTCAAAAGAGTAGGATGCTGGTCCCATATGCCATAGGTGGTGGGTTCAAACTCAGCCCTGGCCAAAAACTACAAAAAAAAAAATTTTTTTTATATGTCTTTATGATAAAAGATCCAGAAATAAAAGTTAAATGATAAATACTTAATACTTCAATAAAAAGGAAAAAAAAAGATAAGTCACTGACTACAATAAAGTATATGCAACTTGTATAATAAATAAAGGATTATTAACGCCTGAATATATAAAGCTGCTATAAATCAAATAAAAAATATGACAAGCAATTCATAACAGAATTAATCTTGGCTCAGCACTTATAGCACAGTGGTTACCAAGGCTGGCGGGTTCGAACCCAGCCCCAGCCAGCTAAGCAACAATAACAAGTACAATGGAAAAATAGCCAGGTGTTGTGGCGGGCACCTGCAGTCCCAGCTACTTGGCAGGCTGAAGCAAGAGAATTGCTTAAGCTCAAGAGTTTGAGGTTGCTGTGAGCTGTGATGCCATAGCACTCCACCTTGGGTGACATAATGAAACTCAAAAAAAAAAAAAAGTAATCAAGAGCATACACACAAACACAATTTCATTTTTCACTCATCAGACTGATAAAAATTAAAAATACTGATTTCCACAACTGACAAAAGGTACAGGAAATCAGATATTCTCAAAACTTTTTGAAGAGGCTTGGCACCTGTGGCTCAAGTGGCTAAGGCACCAACCACATACACCTAAGGTGGCGGGTTTGAATCCAGCCCGGGCCGCCAAACAACAATGATGGCTGCAACCAAAAATAGCCGGGCATTGTGGCAGGCGCCTGTGGTCCCAGCTACTTGGGAGGCTGAGGTAGGAGATTTGCTTGAACCCAGGAGATGGAGATTGCTGTGAGCTGTGATGCCAGGGTACTCTACCCAGGGGGACAGCTTGAGGCTCTGTCTCAAAAAAAAAAAAAAAAACCTTTTTGAAGAGCAATTAACAGCTAGCCTGATTATTAGATGCACATATCTGCCACCTACTTACTACTCTTTAGTCAACAAAAAGTTCCCAGAGGTGCAAAAAATCAAGAACAAGGATGTTCACTGCAGCATTATTTATAATATCAAAAAACAAAAACACAACTCAACTATCTACGTAACAGAAGGTAGTGAAATGCACTTTCCCACATTAATCAGCCTCTGAAGCAACAAATGGGGGGGGTGTCTCTATGCAACTACCAGGGAAACATACAACAACATGATTTAGAAGCAAAGGCTAGTTACAATATAGTCCATACTCTGTGATGCCATTTTTGTCTAAAATAAATATACTTTGCATAGGAACACAAATCTGAAAGAATCCATATCATCTCTGAGAGTAGCATCAAGGAAATTTTTACTTTCTAAATTATATTATTTCTATGTTTGACTTATTTAAATTAAACATAATTGCTTTTGTAATTAAGAAAAACTATGGATAAAGTAAAAAAAAAAAAAAAAACACATTCACCCCTTTGTGAATAAGGGGTAGCTATGATCCCAACAAATGTCAGGTACAGATCCTGTACAGTGTTTTCCCCTAAAGTGGAAAAGACAGAAGAGCTTCTGGAATGGCTCAGGAACTGTCACCTGCCAGTAGTGCCCAGCGCCTCAGTTCCCTGGTGGGTTGGCATGGTGGTAAAGACAGGGCCAGGGACGTCCTGCAGTCATGCATCCTACATAGCACCCAGCCTATATATAGAAGGTCTTGACAGAACAGCAGAAACTAAAGGAAAGTACACTCAATACTGGACTCAAACTTGTTTATTTTTATTTATTTATTTATTCATTGCTTAACCCCTTATCTTTGGGTGGCTCCTCACATCACCAGTGTAAGATTAGAAACATTTTACTTGAAAAAGTCACAATGGAAAATCAGATCAGCTAGGAGGGACTAATGGTGACTTTCTGGGTAAGAGTTATGAAAACCTACCCTAAAGAGACAGCAAAGAACGCCAAGATCTGGAACAGCACAGCGCTAGAAAGCCATTAGTCAAAGAACATTATTAGCCAACTAGCCTTTACTCACAACCTCTAAATGATGAAACCAAGAATGGGAGGGAAAAAGGACAGTAGAGGGGAAGTAAACAAAAACATTAAATACCAGGCACTGTTATGCACTTGAATATATTTACATATTTAATCCTCACAACATCCAGGGAGCATTACAGAAGAGGAGACTCAGAGAGGTCCATGATTTGCTCAAAGTTAAAAAGCTACAAACCCCAGTATTTGAGTCTGATCTGCCTACAAGTTGAGTGTATTGGCAGCTCCTCCAGTCAGCTGGTATGCTGGCACCAAATTTCCAACTACTGGAGCCCATGTCCTCAATCGTTCCAGGCAGACTCACCTGTGAGCTGCAGGGCAGCACCTGGGAAGTGGGCTCCTCAGATGGGGCTACTCCTGAGCCCATAGGGCTCAGTGTGGTGATTCTGCTTGGCTGGCCACGAAGTGTCAGAGTAATAGTGGTAGGGACCTTCAAGCCTGAGAAGGAAAGAGAGAAGCAGTGTTTTGGGGTCACAGCCTCTACTTTTTTCTTAGGCTTTAACTGGATGGTTTCTTCCCCATATAACACACCCCTTCAGACTCCTCCCCATCTGGGCCATCTATGCCCTAACAGTCAATCTGAAAGGCAATAGGAAACAACCTGTGTTCTCTCAACCTCTCTGGGGAATGGATCCACACAGCTGAATCCAAGGGTAATGCCAGGACACTGTGGGGTTGGGTTCAATATCATACCTTGCCCATGAGAGATGGGAAGGTCCTAGGGGAAGATCCCAGCTCTGGGAGTCCCCACAGTTCTCATGAGAGACTCACCTGATGCTTGGTTAGAGATCTGAGCCAGGCCAGGGAGGCTGCTTGCCAACTTAGCGAGGCCCCCATTGGTCAGCAGTTGGTGGATGGCTGTGGGCTTCCCACCAGGAGTGGCACCCAAGGAGGACAGAGTGGTGGCCACAGGAATGGTACGGACAATGGTGCTGGTGCCCGTGGTGATGGCACCCAGGCTCTGCATGGGGGTGGGCAACTTCACACTGGTAGCCTGTGGGACACACAAGCCCAGGTGATCAGAAGCTGTTGCCCAGCAGAAACATTCGACTTTGGAGGGCCCACAGCATATTATTAAAGGCTAACATGTATTGAGTGGCTACTACATGCAGGCTATTCTTCCAGGCATTTTGCATGTATTATCTTATTTAATCTACACAAGAAATCTATGAGGGAAATGTTATTATTACCTCATTTATCAACAAGGAAACAAAGAGGTCAAGAAACTTGCGTAAGGTCACATAGTTAAGTGATGGACTTAACACTGGCAGCTCCTGGCTATGTAGTGAGAAGGCTGTGTGTCCTTGACCCACTTACTGCAGACCCAGTATTCCTGCCAAAACCAATTAACCACAGAAGACTTGTCCCCACACCTGCCCAACCCAGTGGATAACAGATGTGCACCTGTGGGGCCGGCCCCGGGGAAGGATTTGCTGGGAGGCCAGAGGTCTTACTGCTGATATCCTGCAAACTGAAGCTGAGGCCTTGGAGGAGACTGCTGGCTGATGTGGCCCCTAGGAGAGGACATAATAGCTATCAGCACAGGCTCAATCACTTGCAAGTATCCCAAGAACAGCCATTCTCATCCCCCTCACCACCAACTGAAAAACAGTGATCTTATCCTTAGACATTCTTTGGCCTCCCAGAAAGATGCCAGGAAGGTCCCTTGAGGCAGGTATATATACACTGAATGCCCCAGGAAGAAAGGCACTATGCCAGACACTGCCTTGGATTCACTCTGCATACCCAACCTGCTCCAAATCACCAGTCCTACATTTTGGACAGTTTTAAGAAATCTAAATTCCTTTTGTTCTTTCCAGGGACAAAGGACTTTTTCTTTTTTGAGACAGAGCCTCAAGCTATTGCCCTGGGTAGAGTGCTGTGGCATCATAGCTCACAGCAACCTCCAACTCCTGGGCTCAAGCAATTCTCCTGCCTCTGCCTCCCAAGTAGCTGGTACCACAGGCGCCCACCACAACACCTGGCTATTTTTTGGTTGCAGCCATCATTGTTGTTTGGCCGGCCGGGCTGGATTCGAACCTGCCAGCTCAGGTGTCTGTGGCTGGCACTTCAGCCGTTTGAGCCACAGGCGCCGAGCTGGAGAAAGGACTTTTTAAGCCAAAAGAATTCTAAATACCTAACTTACACTTCACCTCACACAGTGGCCTCAAATAAAAAGTTCTGGCCAGGCGCTATGCCTCATGCTTGCAATCCTAGCATTCTGGGAGGTCAAGAGGGGTGGAATGCTTCAGTTCACAAGTTTGAGACCAGCCTGAGCAACAGTGAGACCCCACCTCTACTAAAAATAGAAAAAACAAGCCAGGCATAGTAGCACATGCCTATAGTCCCAGCTACTAAGGAGAATGAGGCAAGAAGATTGCTCAAGTCCAAGAGTTTGAGGTTGCTGTGAGCTACAATGATCCCATTGCACTTTATCTAGGGTGACAGAGTGAGACTCTGTCTCAAACAAGAAAGCAAACAAATGCAGGGGCAGCACCTGGGGCTCAAAGGAGTAGGGCACTGGCCCCATATGCCGGAGGTGGTGGGTTCAAACCCAGCCCTGGCTAAAAACTGAAAAAAAAAAAAACAAACACAGGAAGTTCCTCTCAAAGGAGATGAGTATCTGGCTCAGACAACTAACCTTTCAATGCAGGGTAGGGGGTTAGCAAAAGCACAGGCAGGAAAATGTCTTGTTCTGCTAAGGCCCAGTGTAGCACCATTTCCAGTTTTACTCAATCAGATGTGTTTAAAACACCAAAATTAGTAAGAGTCAGCCCTCTGTTATCTATGGGCTTCACATCCACAGATAGAAACCTACAGATATGGAACCAGCAGACACAGAACTATATGATGCCATTTTATACAAGCAACTTAAGCATCTATGTATTTTGGCATGCAGTATAGGAAGGGGGGGTCCCAGAACCAATCCCCAGTGGATATACAGCAAAGACTGTACATACATCTTCTATCAGCTATTTCTCTTCCCTATATAGTAAAGGACACAGCACTGCAGACTGGGACCTTTATTCCCCCTGCCCAAACTAGTTCCAGTTTTATGTCAAGCCTCTATGACCACCCTGAGATCCAGAGGCATATCCTTTAGCTCCAGGGATGCTTTCCTAGCATCATCCTCCAACAAGAGAAAAAGACTGTTGGGAAGGGGGAAAGCTTGGCTATAAGTTACCTTGGAGGGAGTTGCCAGGAGAGGTGGCCACCAAGCGGCTCTGGATTGTGTGCAAACCACTAGGCGCGCTGCTGCTCGCGACTACAGAAGGGGTAGGGCTGGCTGACAGTCCACCTTCAGAAGCGCTTGACCTAGAGATGTAGAAAGGAGCACTGTCATCCAAAAGTCTTACTTAGGGCAGCAGACCCTCCCAATACAGGGAGGATCCAGAATGGGGCCCTGCAAGGCTTCAGCAGTGGACACAAGGCTAGAACCTTCAACTTCTTTGTCCAATCTCCTCAACCGGGCCTTCCACAAGTCAGGCCTAAAGTAAAGATCCCAGCCCTTAATGTAAGAGCCAGGAAACACCTTGCAATCTTTAAGTAAAATGAACTCTGAGTTGATTCAAAAGACAGATTCCAATCAGAAAAAAATCGTATTCCCAAAAATGAAAGAATCCATAATTCATCATCTTTCCAAAGCACTACATGAAATGAGAAAAGGGGAAAGGCAAAAAGGAAACAGAAAAAGAGCAAGAAATAGACTCACCTGGCTGTGGTGAGAATTCCTGTGAGCTCCTTGGCCGATACTGAAGCCTGCCCCAAGGTCATGGTGATAGGCTTCCCACCTGCAGCTGCAAAAGACAAAATCCCAAGGCCACTGGTTAGTCCTATTTGGCCCCTACCTTTCCAGGTTCCACATCTAAGACTAAACCCAAGATACTATGGACAAAAACTAGCAAAGGAAAAAAGAACTATGTTAGAACAGGGAGATTTGGGGTTATTTTTTCTTCCTATTTTCTCAACTTTCTGGAATCTTTTAATAGCTTTAATTGAAACCAAAAAAAAAAAAAAAGACCAAAATAAGAAGATGCTCTGAATGACTCCCCAGGTTCCTCTCATTTCCTGCCTCCCTCATTCAGATGAGGGCACTGCCCACTTTTCCCTGCATGTGGAACCTTGTGCCTTCTTTGCTTCAGGCACCCCTCACAGTGAAGCAGAGGCTGAGCTGCCAGCCAGCAGCCACTAATGCTGCTTATCCTGGAAGAGGTCAGTCAGTTCTTATTTAAATGTGCCAAGAGAAACTCACTTTCTGAAGCTCCTCCTTGGGAAGGAGCACAATGCCCTCCAGCTGTGTCGCCTTGGGAAATAAGGGACACCTTGATCTTCGGTCGCTTGGAGGTCTTACTGCCAAGAAGGGGACTTGATGGATGGTGCCGCTTCAGCTGGACCCTAAGATCCTCTTTCTCTGTTTCTTCTGTTGGTTCTGATGAAATGGGAACTAAGAGATGAAGCTGAGGTGAGATCCTCTACAATCCAAAACAGCCCAATAGACACTGCCAGTCAACACTAGCATGGGCATGGCCATGTGTGAGGACATACAAGAAAACCACCCCATGTACAGGGCCACACTTCACAGGAAGACTACCCATGCTTTAGGCCCACTTCCCTCAAGCCCTGTCTGTAGTGGGAACCAACCTTGCTTTCTCAGAATATAGCTCTAAGCCCATCTCTTACCCTCCCCTGGAGTCAGAAGAGAAGGAGCCCTAAGTTGGTAGAAATAAAAAGACGACACTCTGACCCTGCCTAGCAAAAACAACAACAAAAACAAAGGACCTCACCACAGTGGATCTAAACAGTCCTTCTCAGACTGTAAGAATGCAACTGTTTTCCTGTTTTAAGCTCCCACCTCCCAATATCACTACAAAGCTGAGGACATTAAATATTCCACAGAGAACTCACAGAGGAGCAAGTCATCTAGTCCTCTCTAAAAGGGACAATTTTTACAAGGTTCTCACAAAGCCCTTCTTGCCCTAAAAGCCCAAGGTTGAGGGTCCACTTGCCAAATGGAGGCAATGAAAAGGAGTTACTACCAGGACTAAAAGCTGGCTTGAGTAACTACTAGGCAAGGAAGCACCTCAGATAACTGGGCAACAGTGGCCCATATCACAACTCAATCTCTAGGTCGTATTTGTACTGGTACAAAGAAAAGCCATCTATTCACACGTGGGCTTCCCCCTCCAGTGAATCAAATAGACTGACCATGCATACATCCAAGCTTTTGGGACTGAGACTCTTTTAAGTTATTCTTTAGGCTTCCTCATAAATTCCCTCTTTAAGCCCCCAAGTCCACCCAGCCCCTCTTTGTAGCAAGGAACAGGAACGGGGGTGAGGGTGGGCAGCAGCCATGCAAGGATTGAGGAGGGGTCTCTGCATGGGGTCATAGTCAGGGAATAGCCAGCTAGATGAGCTGCTTAGGAAAAAAATGCAAAGGCTAATATCAGAGTAGGAAGATGGTAGTAGGGAAAGGAATTACAAGTTTTATGCTGATAAGTGGCTGGTGGGCTTGAGGCTGCCAGGATGAAAACAGGCAGGGAGAAAAACACACAAGGAATTACAAACTCACAGGTAACAGGCCACAAGCACACAAAGGAGAAGCAGAGCTAAGAACCACAGTGACAGAATCACACACTAAGAGACCAAAAAAAGAAAACATGAGCAGCAAATAGAAAGAATGGAGAAGGTTCAAAGACTACAGAGTAAACAAAAAGAGTCAAAAAAAAGAAAAGAATCAGAAGATAGAAAAAGATACTAAGATCGGGTGGAAACCAAACTGTGACAGATAAGAAGCAGAGATGGAACAGAAATAAGAGAGAAATGGAGAAAAGCAGAATGCAGAGGACAAATAGGCAAGAGAAAGAACAATACTCACCAAAGAGACAGGAGGAGGTGCCGGGAGGAAGAGCTTTCCTCACCAGCATATTTTGTTTCAGAAAAGCAGCAAACTGTGCTGGAATGAATCAGAAAGAATTACAGATCATAGCCAGCCAGAGAACGGAGAAAAAGAGAAGAAATAAGAAAAAGATGAAAAAGTTGTAGAAAATGGTCAATGGAGGCTCTTTCTAAAGTTACTACATGGCAATGCCTGTAGCTCAGTGGGTAGGGCACCAGCCACATACACCGAGGGTGGTGGGTTCAAACCTGGCCCGACCCTGCTAAAACAATACAACTGCAAACCAAAAAATAGCCGGGCATTGTGGCAGGCACCTGTAGTCCCAGCTACTCACGAGGCTGAGGCAAGAGAATCACTTAAGCCCAAGAGTTTTGAGGTTGCTGTGAGCTGTAACACCATGGCATTCTACTGAGGGCAACATAATGAGACTCTGCCTCAAAAAAATAAAATAAAGTTACTGAATGGCAATCTGACTCTGCTATGTAGTTCTGCAGAATCATTTATAGACTGAAGGTAATAATATAGACTTGCCAGTGGGGCTGTTGCCAAGACTCAACAAACTACAGCAAAATGAGTGCCAAGAAAGGGTGTGGAACGTAGCAAGGGCTTCATTTATGTTAGCTACTATTGTTCTCTTTTAAAACCAGGTTTCTAAGGCAGATAGCTGCTCCACCCTTCTGGGTCCCACTTCAAGTGCAGCTCACCAGTCAACCTTCTAGAATTCCTTAAATTCTAAACTAATCACCACCTCCAAAAGCACAGCAGACCAGTGGCTCTGTATTCATCAAAAGCCTAAGGGCTGACTCAGAGCCTGTAGTACAGTGGTTATGGCGCCAGCCACATGCACTGAGGCTGACAGGTTCGAACCCAGCCAGGGCCAGCTAAACAAGAGTGACAACTGCAACAACAAAAAAAACAGCTGGGTGTTGTGGCAGGTGCCTGTAGTCCCAACTACTTGGGAGGCTGAGCTAAGAGAATTGTTTAAGCTCAAGAGTTTGAGGTTGCTGTGAGCTGTGACGTCACGGCACCATACTGAGGACAACATAGTGAGACTGTCTCCAAAAAAAAAAAAAAAAAAAGCCTAAGGGCACACTGCCCACGTAGCACTTGCCCAGAGCATCCATGCAGATACTGGGGGCTTGGTCTCTTTTTTTCCCTTCACCCTTCCACTCACATTTCTGTTCTTTGTTAGCATGACTTTAATGAGCAACCTTACAAGTGGTCTGGGTTTAAGTTCTGATCCTCTGGCTCCATAACGAGAAATACAGGACACAGGATAGATCAATCTCCTATCCCTTCTATATCCCTCTGCGCAACAGCCAGCTTTGGCTTCTGCCTCTTCCCAGGCAATCCCATGCCCCTGAGAACTGCAGATGACACATGCTCCTGAATGCATCATCAAACATCAATGCCCAAGAGGCCTTACCTCAAAGGCCACCTAAGTGGATCAATGTGAGGACACAGCCACTGTTTTGTCTTCTTTCTCTATCCACTGACCCCTCCCTTTTCTATAGCTCCTTATATAACATTCACAATTCTCCAAACTTAAATTTCAATCAGACAGATACTTCCCAGAATTATCTGAAACCTATCCGCAGAGAACCCTAATAAACTTTGCTGAAGGTCTCAGTGTGGAAATCTTACCTCTTCAAAGACAAAACAAAAACGCATGATGGCAGCTGAGTTGCCCTAGAATTTGAGGAATAAAATCAATCCTACAGTACACAACTGGAGAACTCCCTAACTGTAGAGGTGGCCACTGAGGCTTAGACCCAAAGACGCAGCTTCCTCAATTAGAAGGCAGAAAAAAGTTTAGGCCAAAATACTTAAAGTCTAACTTCCCCAGAACACCAAGACAAAGCTCTTACCTACTGACCACAAAACCCCACTAACACCAGCCCTTAGTATTCATTTTAGCCTAATTTTGCCTGGACAGAAATGTAGGAAGAAGTCCCCCTCACATTCCCCAAGAAAAAGCTACAGATGCTAATACCTTCCAACTGCCACATGACATCAACTGCAGAAGACAGAACCCAAGAGCGGTCACTAACCAGATGCCTATACCTTGGGCTTGTTTGTGGGTCAGCACAGCTTCTGTCCGCTGCACATGTCTCTTTAGCAGCTGAGAGCTCCCAATCTGACTGGACTTCTGTGCAGAGGTCACTGTGGTTACTTTGGTCTTGGGGCTGGAGGTGGGGCTGCTGGACACACTGGAGAGATCCTGAGTAGGGTGAGAAGGGCCAAAAGATGAGCCAATGCCATGAGAATCTGACTCAGTTAGCATGTGCCCTGGAACTCCCCTAGCAGGAACTCACAGCCCTACAGCACTGACAAAGCAGACAGTCATCCCCAGGAAGCTAACAACTCACTCTGCAGTTCTAACTCCTCAGAAAAATACTCCCTTCTCCCTGCCTCCTTCCCTACTTGCATTACCTCTGAGCCTGAGGGTGAGGCAGGCAGCTTGGCAGCTGGGGAGGCAGGTCGACTGCCCCGCTCCGAGACTTCAAAGGCCAGGTCTCTGCGGGCCACATCACGGGGCTTCTTCTTCTTCTCAGCATCCTGATCCCGAGGCTCTGAGCCTACGTGACCCTCAGCGCGAGTGAGCACACCAGTGAGAAAGTCCACGATCTCATCCTAGTGTAAGGTGGAATCAAGGTCAGTTAGTCCTTATTTGGAGAACAGGAACCTCTCAGTTTCAAACTAAAACCAATTCCACCCTGGCTTTGTGATCCAGATATGCCAGTCCTTTCCCACTCACACAAGGCCTGGCATAAACACCAGGCCTCCAAGTAGCTGTGGTTTGAGACCAGCAAGTGCCTCTGTGAAGGTATGGTACTCTTGGGTGGTCAAACCCCACCACTTTAGACCCTTTCTCTCCTAATGCTTCACTTATATGTTCACCACTTTCCTTTTCTCTTTTTCTTCCTCTCTCTTTCTTTTTTCTTTGCTTATAGACGAGGTCTATGTGGGACTTCAGCGGATAGACCTGCGTCCATCAGAGCCAAAGAGGCTACTACCAACAAGACCAAACCAAAACAGCTACAGAAAGGCAAGCTTAGCTGACAAAAACACACAAAACTATTTACCTGAATACATCTGTCCACCATGCTCTGAGTCAACCCTTCTGATTTCTTCTTTGCTTTGCTTATTCTAAGAGATGAAAAAAAAAGACATATTTACTTCTTTAAATTCTACAGCATCCTATGGAAAATAAATTTCTTCTCTCTGTTGGTTATTTTCTAGGCCCAGAAAGAATTATGTTAGCCCTCAGGCAGGTAATGCAACCTCCCTGAACCCATTTCCACATGCAAAATGGGGAATCATAATACCTCATTCATGAAATTGTGGGGATTAAACAAAATAATGTATGTAAAGAAACCAAGCATGTTGGTCAGGACTGTCCATGCCAGAAGTGCTCTATACCTATGGCTTAATAGATTACCCTATTCTGATTGCTAAAACCTCTAGAGGTCCCTCATCACAGCCCCAAACTGTGAGATTACTGAGTGTTGCTGAAATGAATCAATAGAAGAGGAGGAAAGGTGGTCACAGGTTACTTCTAAAGAAATAAGAGAAAATGATCAAGGCCAGCTGCATTCCCTTCTTGGAAAGGTAGCATTAAAAACTTTGGCTTTGAGTGGCACCTGTGGCTCAGTGAGTAAGGCACCAGCCTCATATACTGAGGGTGGTGGGTATAAACCCGGCCCTGGCCAAACTGCAACAAAAAAATAGCCAGGCGTTGTGGCGGGCGCCTGTAGTCCCAGCTACTTGGGAGGCTGAGGCAAGAAAATCACCTAAGCCCAGGAGTTGAAGGTTGCTGTGAGCTGTGTGAAGCCATGGCACTCTACTGAGGGCAACATAGTGAGACTTTGTCTCAAAAAAAACGAAAAAAAACCTTGGCTTCTGGAGGCCAGGTGCAATGGCTCATGCCTGTAATCCTAGCACTCTGGGAGGCCAAGGCAGGTGATCGCCTAAGCTTACAGGTTTAAGACCAGCCTGAGCCAGAGCAAGACCTCTCATCTCTAAAAAATAGCCAGACTTTGGCTTGGTGCCTATAGCTCTGCGGCTAGGGCACCAACCACACACATTGGAGCTGGAGGGTTCGAATCCAGCCCCAGCCTGCCAAACAACAATGACAATTGCAACCAAAAAATAGCCGGGCGTTGTGGTGGGCAACTGTAGTCTCAGCTACTTGGGAGGCTGAGGCAAAAGAATCACTTAAGCCCAAGAGTTGGAGGTTGCTGTGAGCTATGACACCACAGTACTCCCAAGGGTGACACAGTGAGACTCTATCTCAAAAGGAAAAAAAAAGATGGGCTTTGGTGGGGGTGGGGGGTGCCTGTAGTCCACCTACTTGGGAGGCTGAGGCAAGAGAATTGCTTGAGCCCAAGAGTTTGAGGTTGCTATGAGCAGTGATGCCACAGCACTGTACCAAGGGTGACAAAGTAAGACTTTGTCTCAAAAAAAAAAACAACCTTTGGCTTCTGACTGGGGGTCCTGGCAAAGAGAAACAGGGTACCATGTGACAGGACAGAGAACTGCATTACGAGCCTCAAAATTCCAACATCCCAATTCACTGATGGTTGGCCTCTGATCTGTGTAACACTACCATTTTATAAGATGATGAGAGTGAGTTGCTTAAGTTAAGCAATTTACCTAAGCTTCTCAGCAAAGGGGTCAAGAATAACTGAGGTCTCCCAATTCTCAGGCCAGAGCTTTTATACCCCACAAATGTCTCATCAGCAGCCTACAATCTTTCAGTAACTGCATCCCCACGTCTCCCCATTCCCTTGCAGTACTCAACATACAAAATCTATTCTCTCGTAGGTAAGAATATTTAAATTATCAAGGAAAACTGCTGTGACCATCTTCCCAGCCCATTTCCCTCCTCCTCCCCCTCCCCCCAGAGTCAACTCCAGGAACAAGGCAAGTCCCTCCTCCCCCCCAGGGTGGCCGAGAAGGTGCTTCCCTATGCTTCCCAGCCACATTCCCAGGCTCCTTCCCCCTAGGGTTGGCAAGAACAAGCTTCAGAACAAGGAAGAAAAGTCCCAAGTTTCATAAAACCCCCAAGTTCTCAGTAGATGAAGAATGGTAGAAAACTCACTGAGACTTGATTAATTACTGTTGTATATAACCATAACCATTGTGATATGAGATGTATCCATTGTCAACCAAAGCTGTATTAATAATTGTTACATTACTGTAACCAATGCTATATCCATGACTACCCAAGCTATAACCCCCGCCTTAACCAGCCATGTTTCGCTTCTGTAATATGCTTGCACAAAACCTATAAAAGGCAACTCAACCCCCTACTTCGCTGCTGACTGCCTCTCAGTGCAGAGGCCCCTGCAGCAGGTAAAATAAATTACCAATTAATTACATCTAAGTGGGGGTCTGACTCTATCTATTCAGGTCATGGGGGGTACTACAAAACAATGTATTTACATGAAAACACTGCCTTGGGTATCAAACAACTAACTAGACACTAAATTCACAAGAGGCTGGCAGTGAAGGCCAGAAAGACTTCTCCAAAACATTTCTCAGTAGGAAACTGGAAAGATAGCTGGGAGCAGATACATGCTGTAAACTCTCTAATTAAAATAAACAACTGAAATTAATCTCTAAGATTGAAAATATTTAAAAAGGGGGGCCAAATATGACACTATCTTTTCTTCAGTACATTTTATGAAAACATACCTAAAGGCCCTGTAGGCCCCCATGTTACGGGGGAGGGAGGCCCCCATGTTACAGGGGGAGTGACTGTTTCAAAGACCCAATGATTTTCCTACAACCCCTCCCAAATTTTAGATGTGCTTATGACTCCCTAAATACATCAAAGGATGCTCGACACAAATAAAATCCATGTTCACAATTATCCTAAGTAAGAAATACAATTTTTAAAAATGGCTACCCCTTGGGCAGTGTCTGTGGCTCAGTGAGTAGGGCACCAGCTCCATATAACCAAGGGTGGCAAATTCGAATTCGGTCCCAGCCAAACTGCAACAAAAAATAGCCGGGCGTTGTGGTGGGTGCCTGTAGTCTCAGCTACTTGGGAGGCTAAGGCAAGAGAATTGCCTAAGCCCAAGAGCTGGAGGTTGCTGTGAGCTCCAGCTCCAGCTCCAGCTCTGTGATGCCACAGCACTTTACTGAGGGCGACAAAGTGAGACTCTGTCTCTAAAATAAATAAATAAATAAATAAGTGGAAACCTAATAAATACATGTATTTGTAAAATAAATAAAGGAAAAACAAAACAAAACTAAAATAAATAAATAAGGCTCAGAGCCTGTAGCTCAAGCAGCTAAGGCGCCAGTCACATACACCAGAACTGGCAGGTTCATCCAGCATGGGCCTGCCAAATAACAATGATAACTATAACCAAAAAGCAGCCGGGTGTTGTGGCGGGCGCTTGTAGTCCCAGCTACTTGGAAGGCTGAGGCAAGAGGATCACTTAAGCCCAAGAGTTTGAGGTTGCTGTGAACAGTGATGCCACAGCACTCTACCCAGGGCAACAGCTTGAGACTCTGTCTCCAAAAAAAATAAAAAAATAAAATAAAATAAAAATAAAAATGGCTACCCCAGAGAAAGTATGATAACAAAGAGTTATACTTAACATAATCTCCAAATATTTTCTCCCCACAAAATAACTAATTACAAAGGGAAAACAGTTACTTCACCATAGAGAACCTAGCAGAAGCTACCTTAACCATGTGATCAGGGTTATTATCAGCAATGATAAAAAGAAATCACCATCATGTAACCTCTAATGGGATACACTAAGGATATATCATCTCCATGGCATTCCTGCTAAAAAATGCATATTCTCAGTGTTATCACAGGAAAATGTCAGAAACCTAAATTGAAGGACAGTCTATAAAATAACTAGCCAGTAGTATTAAAAAAGGTCAAGGTCATGGAAGACTAAGACTGACTGAGGAAATCTATTAAAAGGAGACTGAGGAGACATAGCAACTAAATGCAACATGATCCTGGACTGGATCCTGGACCAGAAAAACGATATTAGGCCGATAAATGAATTTGAGCCTACAGATTTGGTAACACTATCATATCAATTGTTAATTTCTTGAGAATTATACTTCTGCTAATATAAGATATATTAGCATTTAGAAATAATATTAGCATTTAGAAAATTCGGGGGACAGGTAATAGGAACATTTTTGTACTTGTACTTGTACTTGTACTATATACTTGTACTTGTACTATATAAATCTGAAGTTAAAGATATGAAGAAGAATGTCTTTAGTGCTCACTTTTAACAACCAGATTCACCCATAGTTAACGCTGCTATCTGACAAGCATTTCTCTAACACTATAGCATGGCTCTCTCGCAGCTCTGAAGAACCTACCCACCTGAGATTATCATCAGCACCCCCAACCACCACCAAACTATTCTCAGCCCGAATCTTCTCCCGGAAGTCCTCCATGGCTTCAGGATGACATTGCAGGGAATTCTGACCAATGACAAAGAGGACTGGAGTCTTCATATCCAAGAGGGGATCATCCACATCCTAAAAGAGGTACAGGTTTTAAAATCAGCTAGTTCATATTCACAAAGTATTAACCTGAAAACTCCACTCAAGAGAGCTGTGCAACTGCAGTCTGCCTCAACACCAGCTTGGACGAGGCATGCACAGCCTCACTCCCACTGCCAATTACCCAGCAACCAGCCACAATTTGTTCTTACCCCTCTGGGGCCATCCACGGTAAGCAGAGGAAACCCAAGGCAGACAACTGCAGTGACATACTCCATCACTGACACCTGTAAATAATAGCACAGTTTATCTGAAAGTCAAATGACTTCACTGTACTTTGGCTTACCTAAAATCCAGGTAGGCCCCCTAGACAGTCCCATCTCTTTCTCCCCTATCCAGCTTCATCAGCCATAGTAAGAGCATAAAACACAAAGCAGCAGTGGCGCCTGTGGCTCAAGCAGCTAAGGTGCCAGCCACATACACCTGAGCTGGCAGGTTCAAATCCAGCCTGGGCCTGCCAAACAATGACGGCTACAACCAAAAAACAGCCGGGCATTGTAGTGAATGCCTGTAGTCCCAGCTACTTGGGAGGCTGAGGCAAGAGAATCACTTTAGCCCAGGAGTTGGAGGTTGCTGTGAGCTATGACGCCGCAGCACTCTACTCAGGGTGACAGCTTGAGACTCTGTCTCAAAAAAAAACCCAAAAACACAAAGCAGCAACTACCTAGAGAACTGGGGCCACAAGAGGACCCTAGCAGGTGGCTGAACCATAAAATAGTAGGTTCAATACTCCTATCCTGTGAATCTTCTCAACTAGAACCCCTCTCGCTGTTTTTCTCCACAAGTAGTAAATATAATCAAGAGAACACAAATGTTGTCATTATCCTTTAAATGAAGAAAATGTCTATTGTTTTTAATGAATGGGACCCAAACATCCCAAATTTTTTGGAGTAGTTGCTGACTGAGTTCCACCATTCCTGGAAGCAGGAACCTCTCATGGCCCTAGATACCATACCTGATTAGATTGCATGAAGCATAACTAGGGCTTTGAATATGTCAGGGACATTTACATAAACCGACAAACATACACATGTATAAAAAATTAGAAAGAAAAGGTTCCTTGATGTCTTACGAGGGGACTAAACATGAACATAATATTAAATTCCAGAGCTATTAATTTTTGCCTGCTAGAATTATTGTTTATTTTTTAGATGGGAGAATGGTATGGTATTTGTGTTTAGAGAAAAAAAGGAATTTTTTTTAAAGAAATGCATGCTCTCTAAATGAATTATGTACCATTTATAGGTACATGCTCTATAAATAAAATGCTATAACATTTGAGACTTTTTTTTTTTTTGGCCAGGGCTGGGTTTGAACCCACCACCTCCTCCAGCATATGAGGCCAGCGCCCTACTCCTTTGAGCCACAGGCGCTGCCCCATTTGGGACTTTCTTAAAAATAATCTGGGGGAGAAAGAAGCAAGCGCGTAGGTAAGGTGAAACAAACCAGCTGTGAGGGGAACACTTGTGAAGTTGGATTAGGGGTCATGGAGTTTATTAAGCTAGTTTATTACACTATACTTGATTTTGTTTCTGCTTAATATTTTCCACAATAAAGGTTTTGTTTTTGTGAGACAGTCTCAAGCTATCACCCTGGGTAGAGTGCCGTGGCATTATAGTTCATAGCAACCTCCAACTCTCGGGCTTAAGCGATTCTCTTGCCTCAGCCTCCCAAATAGCTGGGACTACAGGCGCCTGCCACGATACTCAGCTATTTTTTGGTTGTAGTTGTCATTGTTGTTTGGTGGGCCTGGGCTGGATTTGAACCCACCAGCTCCAGTGTATGCGGCTAGCACTCTAGCCACTTGAGCTACAGGCACAGAGCCACACAATAAAGGTTTTTTTTTTTTTTTTTTTTTTTAGACGGAGCCTCGAGCTATCCCCCTGGGTAGAGTGCCATGGCATCACAGCTCACAGCAACCTCCAACTCCTGGGCTCAAGCAAGTCTCCTGCCTCAGCCTCCCAAGTAGCTGGGACTACAGGCGCCCGCCACAACGCCCGGCCATTTTTTGGTTGCAGCCATCATTGTTGTTTGGCGGGCCCAGGCTGGGAATTCAAACCCGCCACCTTAGGTGTATGAGGCTGGTGCCTTAGCCACTTGAGCCACAGGCACCGAGCCCACAATAAAGGTTTTTAAAAAAGTCTGTCTTCTACAATCTGAAATGCAATTATGTAAAGCATCTAGCACAATGCCCGAAACATAGTAAAGGACTCAGTAGTTACAATCATTAGTACCAGTATTCTATCCCAGAACAAACTCCAATTCCTCAAGATTTCCAAATAAGACAGAAATTACTTACATGACAGGCCACCAAAGCTCCTGTGTTCCAGCCAATTAAGACAATGGGTTTGTGTGGAAAATGGCTGTGAATCTTTGTGGGAAGAAAAAGAAAACAGTAAGATAAGAGATTACAGATGGGTGTGGAACAAAACCAAATGCCAGCTAAGCCACAGTAAACTGAAATAGGGGCATTCTCACCTCCAGCACTTTGCTTCTCACTGCCCCAATCATATGCTCGAGACACTGCAGAACTCCTACCCCACTGCCATTGTTTAGCAGATGAGTAGCTACAGGGATGACCTGAAAAAAAGAAGTGGCATCCATGCCACCAGAGGTTAAGTTTCAAATCTTCTCTCAATTCTGCTCAATCTCAATCTACTCTAAATAAATCTCAACCTTGGAATTCCATATAAATGAAGGGTTAGGGGATGCTCCACATTTAGGTCATCCATTCTAAACCCTTCCTGCATGTTCCTCTCCTTAATACTCTGAGATTATATTCCTGCCCACAAGAGAGTTCCTCTTGTCTCCACACATACCTTGCCTAAGCAGGAGAGCTGAGACTGCCAGAAGCGGTGACGGCGTGAGGTGGGAAACACAGAGCTGGAGGGGCCAGAGGAAGCGATGAGAATCAAAGGAGAACCAGGAAGTTTACTCTAAGGAGAAAGAATCCCACCCAAAAAACAGTGAGAGGTATTCTTCCATGAAATCCGAAGTATCTCAATACTATTCTCATCCCAACAAATGCTCCTTTGCTTATAAAACCATAGTTAAACACAAAACAAGTTATTAATGGAAAAGTCAAAGAAGCCATTTATCAACCTCTTGCCAAGGTTCTATGTCTTTAGTCTAAAAATTTCATGTGCCACAGTTAAGTCCTGAGCCATCCAACTTACTGGTTTATTATGGGAAAGCACCCCAACAGCAGGGTCCCACGGCCTCTTCAGTAGGAGAGACAAGGCCTCAGCTCCTGCAGCCCCTGTCTTCGTGTTAGATGACACAAGCATTCGATCAATCAAGGTCGGGATCTAGAAAGGAAGAAGAGCAAAGCAGCATCCAGTGTGAACATACAACCTTCCCATTGCCAGAAATCAGGCAGGAGGTCAGAGCCCCACCATGAGCCATAGACAAACTTCAACTAAGCCTACCAAACCTTTCTCAGGAGCAAAAGCAAATGAATAACTGAAAAGCATGCTTTTGCCATGAGAGGTAAATGGGTATAGTCCTTGGGGAAAGCAATCTGGTGATATGTATCAAGGGACTAAATTTATTCCTATCCTTCTTCCAAACGATTATACTTCTGAAAACATTCCCTAAAAAATTATATACACGCGTCAGACACACACACACACACACAAAATGGTGGGGAGGGTTATGCACAGAGACAAATTCACTGTCAATAGGAATCAAAAAGTGAGAACAAATATATATATACATATATATGGCAGTGGTTAAGCCAGTTATCCACCTAATTGGATATTAAGGATTATAGGCAGTGGCCAAGGTACAAACATCCTACTGACATACAACTCACACTTATGAACAAAGGTATTAATAGGTAATAGGTAAATGTACTTGTTTCAACTTACATACAAATTCAACTTAAGAACAAACATATAGAACCTATCTCATTTGTAAGACTTTCTACACTTTCAAAAATTTTTTTTGTTGTTGCAGTTTGGCCAGGGCCGGGTTCAAACCCACCATCCTCGGTATATGGGGCCAGTGCCCTATTGACTGAGCCACAGGAGCCACCCTGTACTTTCAAATATTTACAAGAATTTGTAGTTACATACAGAAATATTTTGCTAAAATGTTACAGGTAAAACAAAATATAAAAATTTATCTCTACTCAGGCACTATAATATGCCAAAATGTTAATTAATAATGATCTTTATGGAGTTATAGGTAACTTTTTCCTTTATAGATTTCTGTGTTTTCTAAATTTCCTTAATGAACATCAATTGATGTTTTAATTTTTTTTAAATCTGCATTTTCATCTAGAGTATTGCCTTCAAGTTGCGGCATGTTAAAAAAAACCTATTATTGTGTTTAAAGAAATATATTCTACTCTGTTGTGTATATTTTCTATTTGCTATATGCTATTTTTCACTATCCACCAAAAATATCTCATAGATGTGCAAATATAGGTTTCAGACATGCTGATGCTTACACTGAGAAGAAATATCTGTGTGAATTCCACGCTACCCACAAAAGGTCAAAGTGACCTACGGGAAAGGAAAGATTTTTAAATGTTAGAGGTAGTTTTCAGAAAAACATAAAGGTTTTGAGAAATTGGAGAATAAAAAGTACTATGGTTTGATGCAGGTTGTAAAACTTCAAAGACAGAAGGAGCAGATAAGCTGCTCCTAATTTTAAAAGATAGAAACTAAAAAGGTTTCTGCATGAGAAATTGAGGATTATAAACATTAGACCTTCTCAGTTAAACTCAGGAAACAAACGTCTAAGCAACAATTATTGTTATAAGGCACCAGACCAGTAGTTCTGCAAAGCAATTTAATCCACAAGAGGTAACGAAGACAAACACATAAATAAAGACTGGTAACTGCATGAAAAAAAAACAGAAGCCCCACATTGCTACAATTCAAACCATTCAGTGGAAAGAAGTCAGGCAATTTTCTTTTTTCTTTTTTGAGACAGAGCCTCAAGCTGTCGCCCTGGGTAGAGTGCCGCAGCATCACAGCTCACAGCAACCTCCAAGTCCCGGGCTTAAGCAATTCTCTTGCCTCAGCCTCCCAGTGATGCCTCAGCCTCCCAAGTAACTGGGACTACAGGCGCCCATCACAACACCCGGCTATTTTTTGCCTGTAGTTGTCATTGTTTAAAAGGCCCAGGCCGGATTCAAATCTGCCAGCTCTGGTGTACGTGGCTGGCGCCTTAGCTGCTTGAGCTACAGGCAGCTAGCCAGGCAATTTTCATCTAAAGATACAGCATGTAAAGTGAGACAGGTTCTTCAGAACAGGAAGCACTCCAACAGAACATAACAGAAGAGCTTTCTAATTAGAGATACCAGCAAGAGGCAAGAATGTGTAGAGCTTATTCCAGGTACAGGTAGACTGAAGTCAAGAATTCAAGCAAAGAAGTAAGAGAACAAAGGATAAAACCAAACGGCAAAGATTTTTGCCCCAACTGGCCGTTTTTTGTAATTTATTATATAATTGTGAGCCACTCAACACTCTGAGGCACAGGATCTGATCTGAGTTAACTTAAAAGCATTATCTGGGGCAGTGCCTGTGGCTCAAAGGAGTAGGGTGCCGGCCCCACATGCTGGAGGTGGTGGGTTCAAACCCCCCCCCGCAAAAAAGCATTATCTGGGTGGTGCCTGTGGCTCAAGGAGTAGGGCGCCAGCCCCATATACTGGAGGTAGTAGGTTCAAACCTGGCCCCGGCAAAAAAAAAAAAAAAAAAAGCATTATCTGGCAGTAGAGTATGCCCAAGAAACTGAAAAGCCTTGAAATTCACTTTCCGTCAACATAGGGTAAATAATTAACCAATAACTAACTTCCCAGCTTAGAGCTGGGAAGACCAAGCTTCCCTGGCCTTTTCAGCATTGCATTCACTCTTAATGGCCAAGTAAGAGGCTCTTCTTTAAAAAATAGAAACTAAAAAGGTTTCTGCATGAGAAATGGAGGATTATAAACATTAGACCTTCTCAGTTAAACTCAGGAAACTCAGATCTCTTTTCTGCCCTCTTTATAATGGTGAAAGCAGCTGGTACAAGAACATGACCCCATCCACCCATGATTTTAACATTCAGCAAGCACTTTAAAACAATCCTATAGTCATTTATATCCTTTGGAAAACAACCAAAGTATTTGTTGTGAGTCTAAACAGTCATGAGAAAATAAGTCTGATGATGAGGTACTGTGGAGGGCACAGCCTCACACCTGAGGCCCTTGATGACTGGTATAGTTGTGAGCCTTCCACCATTCCAGCTGACCAGCAGCAGGGCCAGACAGCACCTAATGCACACCTGTCAAGATCATAGTATCTGAATGCCACCTCCTTCACATGGGACGTGTCCAGTCAGTAACTTAAATAGGGAAGCAATACAAACTCTTCCTTATTAGAGAAATTACCAAATCACGCTAGCCATCCCCACTGCCTAGGGAATGAGGGTTGGTAGTGACTGGACTCTGGTCACTACCAACCCTCATCCCTTAGGCAGTGGTTCTCAACCTTCCTAATGCTGCAACCCTTTAATACAGTTCCTCATGTTGTGGTGACCCCCAACCATAAAATTATTTTCATTGCAACGAAGTAATTTTATGGTTGGGGGGGTCACCACAACAGGAACTGTATTAAAGGGTTGCGGCATTAGGAAGGTTGAGAACCACTATGAATATCTCCACCAATGTTGTACTTTTACCATAAGTAGAATGCTGTGGAGAATGTTGTTGAAAAAATATATATATATAC